GATCAGTGCCAATTACAATTTTGTTCCAGGTTGACCAACACCAACTATGAGATCAATGAAGATGAAGACGAATTTCCTGAAGACTGCTACATCTGCGGCAAACCCTTTGTTTCGCCTGTAGTGACAAGGTAGGTTACTTCATTGCTCTATTTTCGCCGTTTTCGAACTAGGACAAAGGTAGTTGGGGTGGGTGACTGGCATACCATACCCATACCAGTCCACTCTTTTTTCTCCTCGACTGCGTTCTCTTAGCGAGATGGTGCTTACCCGGAAAACATTCCCCTCTCTTTCATGCTAAGTAAACGTAGAAGAACTGGGGCAGCGAGTTTCGCTTACTGCCTGCCAAAGCGAACCCAAACTACCTTGACCACCAAACCCTACCTCCTATATCGTGGATATGTTATGGATGTTTCAGGTGTAAACATTATTTCTGCGAAACTTGTGCGTTAAGTGCATTCAGAAAGAATAAACGATGCGCAGTTTGTGGCGAAAATACTGGAGGAGTATTCAACATTGCAAAAGGTTAGTATATATGTTACGTATGTTGTCGCAGTTCGGCTTGGTGAGGCATTTTGCCGACTCCCATGATGACGATCGTTGCTTCCTGTGGAGACCTGTCAAATCCTGCCAAGCTGTGCAGTAATATGAGCTTCGCTTACACTTGACAAACCAGTCTCACAAAGGTGAAACGTGTAGTTTGACAGGAATCATCAAAAGAAACTAGCGAAAGCGCAATATGCCCCTCCCCTTCAGCCAAACCGCGTCATGTTTTGTGAAATAGGTATCCGAAGCAATGGTCAAAGAATTACTACAGTTTTTCCTTTTCAGATCTCATCGCAAAGTTAACAGGTACAGCGAAGAGCAAGAGGAAGGAGGAGTCCGACTCGGATTCATGTGAGGAACACGAAGCCTCATGTAGTCATCATACTGTTAAGGAAGAAGTCCAAACAGTAAAGGAAGAGCAACCTGAAGAAGACATCGTTGAGGTCAAGCAGGAAGTCCAAGAGGAAAGTGACGAAGGCGATAATGAGGAAGGCAGTGAGGGCAGTGATGAACATGAAGACGATGGGCAGGACGAAGTACAGGAAAGCGTAGAAATCAAAATGGAGGAAATTGAGCAGGATGATGTTGAAGCAGATGAGGATGATGCAGAATATGAAGAGCAGTCTGAGAGTGAAGATGAGGATCCACGTACCTAAAATTTTGTAGAATATATTACTGGTTTCGGAAAGGCAATTGTTGTGTTCCCGAATTTGAATCCATTTACCTCAATTGTTTCTTCCGCTGGTTTCAGTTGTGAAGTTTTTACATTGTAATTTTTCGAGCTATTCAGTTTCCGTAGGTTATTGATTGTTAAGCCATTCAGCTGTTGTGTTGTCTGACGTTACACATTGACAGTGATGTATTGATAGATGCCCTTTTGGTTACGATACCCTGCTGGTAATGCTGAAGTTAGTTTCTTGTCCTAGTTAACAGTGCGTTGAGTACATAGTCAATTGAGATCATTGAGAATCTCGCAGTGCTGTAAACTATATTTAAAAAATTTGGTCCCTTTTCGTTAGCAGAGAGATTTCCTTATCATTCATTTTGAAATGACTGCTATATTTCGTCGCGAAATGCATCGCAAATATGCTGGTTCTGACCGCATAGTCCATTCACGTTTCGTGTAAGAACTGAAGGTTATAGTTAATGCCTTCAGACTGAGAGAGAAGACCGTTTCAATCTAGCACATGAACACTGGCTCTGCACTGGAATCTGCCGCACAAACTGAACAAGAAAGAATGATCTGAAAGTTATCCAATGGGAAGCAGATTTAAGGCGTCGTGTTGTTGTCGGCGGGAGACGTCAAATCTCTGACCCGGGTAAAAACAAATTCTTGGATATCCATGATCGACTGTTTTCTGGAGTAGTCTTATTCATTTAGCTCGCGCCAGGATAGAGGAGTCTCGTCAGTTGTCAAGCTTCGGCTCCTTGATAGTTGCACTCTATCAGTTATTGGCATAAGTAATGTATTAGCGCTTCGGCCAAACGTCCTTTTTGAGTAGGTGCTCACAGTTAACAACCCCGCGCACAACCAGCCAACACGGGTTTTGCCTCTGCGTACCAATATGCGTTCATACTTTGCGATTCGTTTGACGCAATTGACTTTCTCGACATGATCGACGGCTTCGGCGAGGATTACAGTCTTCTTCGCTGCGGATGAAAGGCGTGTCACACGGGATGGACTTGGCGCGGCGTAAAACCGTGCTCCACCAGATGGAACCGGTAAGCGACAATAATTGGTGGAAAATGACTGATACGAGCGATGTGACATATTCATGTCGCTTGTTTGCTTCAACTGATTGGTGGGAAACGAATGTATTTGGCGTCGTGCCAAACCCATCTCGCCCGACACTCTCCTTCATCCGGCAAATCAGACTGTAGATACAAACCGAACGGACGTTCTCGACGCTCGAATACGCCGATTACGCCGGATCGGTTGGTATGCATCAGTTTCTGCTTAATATCTGTTGTCGTCCGTGGCCAATGGTATGAACGCAGTCACAGATAGAGGACACAAGCTTTTTTTGCTCGTTATGAATGGTATTTTGGTGGCTCCGATGAATAGTAGTAACAATAGTGAGTTCAGTTACTGCACCATAATAATGGATGTGTCTCCCCACAAAAAACTGCGTTTTTTTTTGTCCGAATAATCTGTGTTAAATTGTCTTCGCTCGCTACATAAAAAAGAGTAGGAAATGCAAGGTAAGTTTTCTGCTGAATTCAATAAAGTGTGCACAGCTGTTATCTAGTGAGTGGGACGACCAACACAGGTAAAAAGCAGAAAGCGAACTTTGCGCTTTACCTCCAACGTTGACAACGATGATTCAAGTTGTGTGACTAGGCGTCAACTTGACGAGATATTACACAAACCAGAGCTCACATGGTGCATTATCGATTTTTGACGTGTAGTTTTCAGTGGCTGAGTCAATATCGTCAGCCTGCCGACATTGTGCAATTTCTCAGTCATACATTTACTGCTCTCTCAGTGCAAAAGCTTTCTGAAATAGATTTCCATGCACCTTTGAAAAGCGTAGAAATCTTTCGAATTCTCACCTTGTGAGAATGAAAATGTAGTCAGTAAAGTCTGAATTCTTGTTTATTTTTTTCTGGAAATGAACTTGCCGAGGTGACTTAGCATACAAATGTGAGCAGAGTTTATATTATGCTACCTTGATTCTTTGACTTTTTTCAAACGCTAGTCCAGTACAAAAGGTCCCCATTCCAGAACGTTACTCGTGAGAACATGCCACGACAACGATTACGCCGCGGACCTGTACTGGACTAGGGCCCTTTCCAGCGAGTTTCGTCTAGGAGGGCTTTTGCTTCCCAATGTCGAGCCACCTAGATAGGAACATCGTGGAGAGTCTTTGTGGGCATGGTTGAATACCGAGTCTGCGTTGATGCCAATAAGTTTGAGCGCTGCAGGATCTCCCGCCCCCCTATGCCACCGTGTCACGGCGCCTTTTTCCAGTAATCGGAAGTTATCTCGGAATTGTTGTCTTCGGGGGATAAATCAGGATCACGCGGATAGATGTCTCTTTGTTCCAGATGTATAGTACCAGGCAGGAGGTTGCTACGTATAACTTCTTCAATTGCGATCAGAATGTCTGCCTTACAAAACGTGTGGAATGAAATGCAGAGTTAGGTTGGAAGCGGTGTCCCCGAAGCGACGGTAACTGGTACTCTCCATTAAGAGCATCAGCTGTTTATCTTCTGCTTTCCTTTGTCATTGGTTGATATGTGCCACGTGTGGCTCGACATTCGGCATCCACACGTGCTCAGGTTATCCTTTCAATTGCCCATCACAGGGGCATTTTGGGGCAGAGCATCCAAGCCACTTAGAACCAGGTTTCTCACAAAACAAAAACTAAACGCCACCAATTCCGGCTTCAAGGAGCATTCTTTAAGTCTAATTCCTTTCACTAGTACATGTTGATACAGGTCTCATTTTGGGGGCCTGGTAAATTTTTGGGAAGCCGCGAAATGATTCCAGTGACTCTCTTCGGTTTATTTCACAGGTCTCACTTTGTACAAAGCTTCGCTGATACTACAGATGCCCCTTTGTGACAGCCAAACAGTGGCCTGAAAACCTCTTTGTCATAAATAGCTCGCAAAGATTTCTTGCTTTATTCTCTTGAGAGTGATGTAGTTCCGGGACGAGTGAAGAGGTCCATATTCCCTGAAGCTCTTCCCCTCTCGACATTATATTTCATCTCAACAGCTCAGAATCTTCGCTTGTCACAAATTCCAACATTAAAATGCTATCCCAATTTACTATGAACTGTCTAAAATACTGTCATATGATATGGAATCAAAGATCATAAATAATGGCTCTGACTCGCAAGTCCAATAAAATTCTGAAGCTTTGAAAGAAATCCTTATTCCAAATCAATGGTATCCTAGTCCGACGCTCAATTGCACGAAGGTATCCCGGTGAGCAGGGCCAGCAAAATATCTGTCCCTAGCCAAATCCCGGTGTAACTGTCAGTCTTGTGATTATGTTCCTTTTTGATGCACTCAAGAGAAGTGTTCCTCAGCCTAGGAGTGAAACCTTGTTTTCGTGAAGTTATCAAATCGGACTGCCCCAGCCCGTTTGCGCCCCGGTTAAACCGTTAGAGAGGTGGAATTACAACATGAACTTTACAATTTGAGGGGGATTTTCGGAGGGAGGCGCTTTAAGAAGTGATGGGGTGGGCAGCGTGCACTTTTTCTCCTTTTTTAGCGCTTATCCCACTACTGAGGGATCCACTGTTCTGAAGTGGTGATGCCAATTCTCATGATTGAATGGATCAGCGCTATTTATAGCTGTTTTGTTATGACTGCTGTTTAACGCCGCAGTTCGCGTTCAGAATGTTATCACAAGAATGCTGAGTTATGGGCAAAAGTCGTATCCCAGGCGGGACGCTTTCCGGGCGAGGCGCTATCCGTTACGCCACCAGGCCGCTTCTACCCTCTCAGCTTAATGGCTTTTATGCCGTGGCTATTTATAGCGTCCTTCAAGCCGCTTTACGCCCTTCTAGCTGGCTGTCGGTCTCACGGATATCGTCAGCCTTCGCGCGAAACTTGTGACAATACCATCAGAAGCATGTTTCGCGCTTTTTGCGAGGTAAAAGATGATAGGACGAAGTCTTTATCTGCAATCAATCAGTTTTTAGAATGCGGCGCGCATGCTATTTCCATTCCGGAATCAAAGTGTGAAGCCAGCCAAGTTTTTGACCTTCCAGACGAATCTGGTGCCAGTTTACACTCCACGGAGGGTGAGGGTAGAAATCTTGGCCTGAGCGGGAACCGTCCACTTAAACCTGTCCTGCGCACGGGTTAAGCATGATTTTATCAGCTATAGAGCTTATGCCAGATTTCTTGCATATGACATCATTGCATGTGGTCGAAACGCGAGACACCCGACACAAGCAAGATTTTCATCTCTGTTACATCGTGCTGGCTTCTTTGAACGTTTACTGGTAGGTACAAATTGCGACGCTTCGTTTGAGCATTTGAAGTGAAGTGTGACATCAATTACTGCCTTATCCGCTAAATCTAACTCACTTTGAGACTGTACTGGAAGAGCCGTGTTGGGTCAGGCTCGTAACTGCAGGTTAAACAACTTTTAGTGCGGAGTTTCACGGCTGGCGGTCCCTTTTTGGTCACATATTTCACCACCGCTCTCGTCCTTATCAGCCTGTTTTGACGTGATAAGGCGTGCTTGCCTGTGACCTAGTGCCTGCATATTAATTTATCTCAGTGTGGATTATACTTGTGCAATTAGCGTTTCCGCAACATTTGTTGTGAGACCTAACTTTCTCCCTGAGCATGCAAGAGCTTCTTTACAGTGCTTTTCCCCGTATTCCGTCGCCAGGACGCGCTCAGATGCCTTAATCAAAGGCGCATCGCTGTATGGAATCAATACTCTTTGTTCGTTACGAGAGTGCCGGGTTGTGGGTAAAAGTCTTGGCCCTTAACGAGACTCAAACCTTACTTCAAACGGGCTCTCCAATCGAGATAGGCTTATCACTTACACCCATCAAAGCCGCCCTCACCCGCTTAGCTCAATGACTTTCGAGCAATGCTGAAGCTTTGAGATGTAAGAGCTCTCTCAAAAATATGATATCATCTGAAGATTGCTTATAAAAGTAGTGATTTAACGATGCCTGGCATTGTGTCAGGGGTGAGAATAACATGATACAAACAAAGCACTAAGCTTTTCTCCGTAAAGCTTCCATGCGCTCCGAGTGAAATTGACCCCAACGAATAATCTTTCACTTGAAAAATTCCGCTTTTTGGAAAATGGAAGGTACGGTGTGCTTACTATCAGGGTTCCGCGCGGTATATCAGCGCTTTGTAGCGATTAACAAAATGTAAAGGTATTGAAAGTCATTGAAAACGCTGGCGAACGCTCAAAACTGACCCTCAAAACCCTTAACTTCTATATTCCTAGTCTGTAAAAACGCTACCGAAAAGTATGCACGCACTCCCAGAGCGAAAAGTAGTGAGTTTCTATTGTCAGCTGCGACCAGATCGGTGGAACGGCAAGCGATGTGAGGCAAGTAGGGAAAAATGTTTATACAGCAGCTTAAATTTTTGGGCAACAGCACCCGCTTTATACCATAGTTTCTCCCATATCGAAGTGCCCATGCCCATGATCGATAACGGTTTAGTTGTGAGATGTCACGCAAGTGTTCAGGTAGTCTACGGCGGCACTGGCTCCCCGACCGGTGACGAGCATCGCAATATGTCCGAGAAGGTTCAGAATATGGCTTCCGCGATTTACCGGGAATTCGAGCTCATGATCCAAAAATATGGCGAAGATGGAGTCAAGGCAAGTAATAAATTCCATTTCTCTCTGGAGGGAGATGCTCTCTCTCTCTCTCTCTCTCTTCTCTCTCTCTCTCTCTCTCTCTCCTCTTTCCTCTCCTCTCTCTCTCTCTCTCTCTCTACTCACCGTAATCTCGTCCCTCCTTCTCAATGCTGTAGTCAGCGTGATAGCTAAATCCGAAAATTCAGCAGACTCGCAAATTCTTCAAACACTTGGGAAAAGTGGTGTGAAGTTCTCAGAGTTCGTATCATCTTCTAACATCGGGTTTTCATGGAACGAACAGTTTTGAATGTTTTCTATCAAAAAAAGAAAGAAAATTGCAAACTTTGGTCTTTTTCGAGTCTTCAGACCTCCTTTGCGAGAAACTTTCGGTGCTCCTTCACGTTATGTGATATTCAGGTCAGAACTATTGCATGGTAATCAAATTATTGTTGCAGACCTTAATGCCGCTGGTTGTGAACGTGCTAGAGGCACTAGATCTTGCATTTCTGGAACGTGAAGAGGCAGCAGTTGATCAGGAAATGCTCAAAGAAGATAACGAACAGCTCGTCACGCAATATGAAAGGGAAAAACAGTTGCGAAGACAGGCTGAACAGGTGAACTCTGTGGTTTTCAGGATGTCTTCGTGATCTCGGCTCGGAAACTACCAAAAGGTGCTAATAAGGCACATATATATTTTGCTCATTACAGAAGTACATGGAAATTGAAGACAACCTCATCGGTCAGAACAAAGAGTTGGAGGCGAAAATTGAATCTCTTGAATCAATCATGAGAATGCTAGAACTGAAAGCCAAGAATGCTTCTGACCATGGTGTGTGATTTCATCTTTCTCTTTTCTTGTTTGCGTTCTTTATTCGCAATTTTTTTTTGCAAACCGCAACAGAATTTCGATGGAATTTCGGAGAACTGATATTCAGGTATGTCATGTTTGTTCTTTCAGCGTCACGGCTCGAGGAACGCGAAGCTGACCAGAAAGCTGAATTCGATCGTTTGCATGAAAGGTTTGTAATCATTGAGGATTTTTGCTTTATTGTCTGTTTGGTCAATTGCTACTGCTTGTCGAGTGAATACCCGGTTTGAATAGCATCTTCATTCCATCATAACCAATTCGTAACTACTAGTATTGACCGACTGTGAAACTGGGAACAAGTGTAAGGGAATCGAGGTCAGATTTGGTATGCAGATAGACATGGATG